TAAAATGGATTTTACGATAAAATGCATTTTATGGATGATGCACGGTACCTTATACAGAAATTTGATTTTGAATGTTTTTAAGTGTAAGAAACACTGAATGTTTTTTTTTTCGATATTCATTTAAGGATTTAAAAGTACAAATGAAACATTTCTAATAACTTTTCTAAAATCCATTATCAGCAAGTTTTTGATTCTTTAAGACATGATAACTTCACCTACCTTTAACGTTATATTATAAACTAGTATTTAATACTACTGAAACTTAATATAATGTTAGCATTACGATTATTAAAATACATTTAATTTTATTTCAAAATCGAAAGCAAATATGATTTATTTAGTAAGCAAAACGTTATTTTTTTTTAAATCAGTATCATAAGAAATGTTATGTTTTTTCAAAAGGAAACTTTATACCTCTTGAAAAAAAATTTTTAAACAAACGTTCTAAAATGAATTATATTGGATAATAAGATCATGAGTTTCTCTAATTTAAAAAAGGGCAAATATGCATTAAAAATCATACGAAATAAAGGCAGTTTAGATATAAATACATTTTCTAAATTCCCAAACGCCTTGAAAATAATTGGTTCTTTAACGTTAAAGTATTTTTTATATGAAGGGTTTTTAATAGCTTAGATATGACTTATATATCTTTATATTTTTGCTATCTATTATTTATTGTTACATTTATTATGAATAGTACATTTTCACTTAAGCAGTTTAGTTTTGAATAATAGCATTATTTTCTTATTCATTTGCTACTGATCAAAAAATATTGCCATTTTATGATAAACAATACCTTTTCACAATTTCATATTTAATGTGAAACGCCAGCTTTGTATGCAAAGTATGTATAAAAATGTATTTAAAACAAACTGATATTTATTTGATTATTAATAAATTCGAATAACAATGCTCTTTATAGCAAAAAATGGCTTAAATCCCATTTTGAGGGTTATGAAACACGAACAGAAAAATAAAGGAAAAATTAAGTCCCTTCCTTTTTTAATTAAAAAAAACTCACTCTTAATTTCCACGAAAAGTTTAAAAATTAAAAGGATATTCGTTTTTATAATCCTTTGAAGTTTTTAAATGTTTCATGTATTTCCCATCATAATTTAAAGGGATATTAATTCTTGTTAAAATGTTTTGCGTTCGAGAAATACTTAATAATTCAGTTAAAATTCTATTATAGTGTCTATAATACAGTTTTGAATTATGGTTTTCACATCTTAAATTGAGAATGGGTGGAAGTGAAATATGATAACATTAAAAGCTTTTCCGTGGTATAATTCAGGTTCCAAATAGGGGACATTTATCAGAAAAGGCTATTATTTTCCATTATTTTTACTTTGTTCCATATGTTTAACACTTATTAAAACTTAAAGAAAGCAGTTTTCTAGAATTTGGGGAAGCAAAACTATCTATACATTTTTCATTACAGAAAGTTTTCTTTTTTCCCTTTTTTTGAATCTTCTAAAATGTATTATTTTTTTATTTTTTGATTGTGAAAGTATTAAAAATGAGTTTAAGTGAAAATTATATATTTTAAATTAAGCTAAAGGCAAAATCGAAGATTTTTATACTTTCATTTATTGGGTTGCTCGGAAAATTTTTTTGTTCTCCCCCCCCCCGTTACATATTTAGTTATATTTTTCCCAGCCAACTTCACACTTAAGCGACATAATCCTTATATATTTTGATAGTTGATATAGCGAGCCTTGTTATTTAAAAGTTTGAATGCTTCTACGTAGGAGTTTTTGGTTGGTTCAAATATGAAAAGTGAAAAGCAAAGTTTTTGACATATTTTATTTTTTTACCATCCAAAATGTAAGAATATTGTTGAAGCAAAAAAAAATCGGATGTGTTAAGAGAATATGTATTTGCTGTACTCTGTGACACAGCTAGTTTGCAAAATTCCTTGCTTGTGAAAAAGTTTGATTACTTCTCTACGCACGAGTTTTTAGTTGGTGCCCTTATGTAATGTATTTGTAATTAGGTTTAACTAAAGAAGCATGTGAAAAGAATTTTAAGCCAGATTTTACCGTTCAATGATGCAGTCACAGTTAAACAAAAAGTTTTAGTATCATTTTTAAACTGTGATATTGTATAAATTTGCCATAATTTGAAAGAAATCGAAATATACTATATTACAATGAATCTTTCTTTCTTTTAAATATTGCTATACTGATTGTATATGATCTGACTAAAGTTTATTTATTGACGCTAATCTGTGGGATAGTTAACATAATGAGAAAATATTTTCGAAAAAGACATTTAATTGAAATTTAGGTCGCGTGGAATCAGATTTATGTTAATAAACATCGTTTATATTTATATTTTTTGTTTATTTTTTTAAAAACTTACTGAAAAAAGATATGTTTCTAAATCATTAGAAAACTCAATAGTGAATCTCTTTGTTATGAATATTTTAAATTACGTAAAATTTTCAAAGGCATTAACTTTAAAAGTTGAAAATGGGTCAAATGGCGATATATGTTCCCTCTGTGTTTGTCTCAGAAGATGATGATATTTAAAAATTTGAAATTAAACTATACATTTAAAAAGGAAAAAACATGAGTTGAAGCAGAATATTAATAATAGAAATTTTTTTAATAATCGTTTAAGTCAAAGCTGGAAATAATTTAAATACTTTAGGAACATTATCGATACATTATCGTAAAACTCAAGTTAAAAGAAAGAATAAACATACACATAAAATGTATTTCTAATTGATTTGCACGTTACTGTTCTTCGCAATTTTGTTTTAACTTCAAAAGAAAAAAAAATATTCGTAACTCATATATAACGAATCCTATTAAGATACTATTGAAAATCCTATTAAGATACTATGAAAAAGATTTCTTTAAAACACAAACAATATTTGAATTATATATTCTGTATGATTCTAAGTAGTGTTTAAAATGTAAGTAATACGTTTTTTTTTTTTTTTTAAATTCTGTAATTGGTATTTTTTTGCTTATTATAATTATTAATTTATTGCCCATACTTTAGCACACAAGTTTTTAATAATTGATTTATTCTTTGTATTTGAATAATTTATTCATTTAGTCACACGCATAGTTGCCTAATTCTAATGACATTAAAACAAATGCGCCGCAGGTGAAACTGGGAGAAAATTCAATTTTCTCGCTTAACACCAAACCGAAAGAAACCCTCGATCTCTAAACTTCTGAAATTAAGAAGTATATTTATTTACCGAACGTTAATTATCATCTTGGAGAAATAATTGCATTATTTTCAAATAAAAATCTTAAATGTTAAAAAATTTGTTGTAATAATTTATTTAGACAATTTTTAAAGTTTGATTTATTGTTATAGGAAAAATATTAATAAAAGAAATAAGGAACCGAAATAAAGAAAAATCTGCTTATTGACTTCAACTCCATTTGCTGCATGATCAATTAATATGGATTTTCTTTTTACTAGCTCCAAATAGCTTCCTAGGAAAAATGAAAAGTAAATTCAAGTATGTCAAAACCTTGCCGACGGTTTAAATAAATTAAACAATTCTTGTTAAAACTAAAGTCTTTTTCATGTTCAATAGTATTTTACCGGAAAAATATTTTCATGTTTTAATCTTCTCAAGGATTAAAATTTTCGTAATTTATATGTTACATCTCGTGTTAAGAATATTTTTTCAATTAATATAAAATGTATTTATAAAAAACAAAAAGGAAAATTCTGCAATCAATAATTGTGCCTTTCTATGTAGTCAAACAATGCTTAAAAAGCCTTAACCCTCTCCCTGGATTTAATTTAGAAAATTTAATTTATGTTTTCTTGATAATTTGTGTGCTTTACAAGCGTTTGGTGATATAATATTATTAGACAGCACACTACGTTTAGAAAAAGTAGAAAATAAAAGGGTCACATTAGTAAATAGCGAGAAATAGCGCTTAATAATTTATAAAACTTCTACGAAATGTTCCCCTAAAAACTTTAAAGCAATAAAATGATACGACTTGTGGTTTTGAGCTAGTAGTTTAAAATTACAAGTTACACAGTTTTTCAGCTTTTACATTTAAGGAGCTCAAAAACCCCTCTAACGTGTTTTATTTATTTTTTTTTTTTTGCATACAAATTAAGATACTGTCACAAATCTATTAAGAAGCAACTGTAAACTATTTAACTGCTTATAAAAAACTGCTGATAGCAGATTTTTATTGGCATAGCTTCAGAAAAATGTAAGACGCAATCTAAAATACCATTTTATATCTCATATATAGAAATATCCCATATATGAGATTTATGAAATACGTGAGATATGATATATGAGATATGACATATGGGATATATGAGATATAAGCGGTAACATTACTTCAGAAAAAAAATAACCCAGAATCTAAAATACCACTTTATATCTCACACGTAGAAATATCCCAGCCATTGTTGCCGCTTTATATTAGGATATATTTCAGTCATTGTTACCACTTTATATTGGGAAATATCTCAGTTATTGTTGACGCTTTATATTTCATATTGTGATACCCGCTCGCTTTATATCTCATATTGTGATTGGGTGGTGGCTTTGCATTTTACATGTATCGAAAGATAATGCCAAATAGAATAAATGCACATCATCAGTTTATTTGTGAAACTTAAATGAAGAGGATTAAATTCATGTTCGGTATTTTGTCCTCGCCGTCTCCATCCCTTTGTCTGTCGAGTCCCGTGTGGAGAGGAAGGGCCTGTTAAGGAATATAGAATGTGGAGTGAAAAATGATTTAATAATACTGATTTCCTTCGTCATTAGCGTAAAACAGTTTAGACAGAAAACATTAAAAGTAATTTCAAATATGCCAAAGCATGTCGAAGGATTAAATAAATTAAACAATAATTAAAAGTAATTTTTTTCAAGTTAAACAGTATTTTATTTAAAGGCAATATTCACGCTCTAAACTACCGAAATGTTAAAACATCCTTGATTTATACATTATACACGTATGCAAAGTTTATTTTTTAATTGCCATAAAATAATGCGTAAGCAACGTAGATTGTGGAATGAACAACGAACTTATCTTGAACTTTAAACAATCCTTAGTAAACGGAAACAAAAAAAAAAAAAAATTTAAAATGCGTTTTGCTGACAAAGAGCGTCGTATTTTGTACACTCGAAATATATATTTCTTCGGTTTCGAATTTGGAATTTTGTTTTTGTTTTATTCAGTTTACCTTTATTTTTCAATTGTTCCTTTTTTCCTTCAAACCCATATAAAATTTTTTTTTTAGTTCGTATTCATATAATCCTAGCTTAGCATCTTCAAGCATAGATATTCGTTTCAAATTTTTAAAATGAGATTGCAAGTAAAATTTTATGACTATTTTTGTTACATGGAGCAAGTATTTTTAGATGGATATTTTTTGTGGCTACCTTGTGCTTTAGATAAATTAAATATCTTTAAAATTGTCGTGATTTGAAATTTAATTTTCAAAATAAAGATGCCTACAGTAGATAAAGAACTTAGTGTGAATATAATATAAATTTTGGAATCTTTGATAATAATAATACTACTATTCATACTGTTTAATTTAATGATACTAAGATAATTTGATCTTCATTAAAAGTTGTATATACCTTCATCAAACTGAATTTATCATTCACATATAAAATTCATAAGTTTAAATTAGTTTTCTGCAAATTTAAACATTATATTTAGTTTTATTACGAAATTAACAGTTCTTTAATTTAGTGTAATTGTTTTCCACGTTAAAAAATATTACTTGGGCAAAATATAGGTCGAGTTTTAGAAAATTAGTTGAATTTATAAGTTCTAGTCTTAGAAAAAAGCTGAATCAAAAGTGTCCAAAAACTATTCATTTAAAAAAAATGAATTAAAATAAAATAAGGATCTTCTCTAACGTTACCCCCCCCCCAGTCTATAAAACCTACGGATTTTTAAAAAGACTTTTCGATAATTCTTTCTTACAAAAGATTAAAAAAAAAGTTTAATTTTTAGATCCTCAAAATTTTAGTTTTTTTAAAAAAAAAAACAATTTTAAAAGTTCTTTTTAAAGTTGTATTAAATATTCGTACCACAATATTTCATTTGAAAGAAAAAAGAGCCTTCCAGATTTTAATAACCTTTCATTTTAATCCTTATCTTGAGGTTATAGGAGTAATATGAAGAGGTACATCGAAAATATATAAATGTTGAAAAGTCTGTTATCTTTTTACTTTCTCTGAATAATGTGTTAATGAACATAACAAATTTTGTTGATATGAAATTTATCAGAGAGTTAGAGGAATTTCTTTTAAAAAAGCGTGCAACATTTTAATTAAAACAAGACCGCTTAGAGAATTGAAAATTACAGCAAATTTATTAAATTAATATATTGGGCGCAAAACTAAATGACATCAACTGAAATAACACAAACTATTTTTTTCTTTTCAGTGATCCGTGTAAAGTATGAAATTAGAACTTACGACGATTTCGTTGTAAAGGGCAACACAGCTGTTCTGAAATGTTATGTCCCATCATCTGTGAAAGATTTTGTGCCTGTGGTCTCATGGGAGACTGACGATGGCTTCATCATACAACCCGCTACATCTGACGGTGAGTTAATCATTTTAGCTTCCCTGGCAACGGAATAATTTAATTTCCGGCGATACACATTTTAAGATAATTTCTGCGGTGAACCTATGTGTTTCAGCTTTTGTGTACCCTCAAAAGAGCCTTCCAGATTTCAATTTAATTCTAATAAATGGAAAATTTCAACACATGACTTGATCTCCAACCTTGTCATTTAAGGTTGAGATGGCAGCATAGTTTTGCTGACTGTTTATGAGACAAAGGCGTAAAATGAAACTTAATGAACTGATAACGTTATAATAAGGATTTCATTTGAAGTTGGAATTATTAAATTTGCAAATTTCGAAGTATATTAAATTTAATACTGAAGTCATATATGATTGTGAATGTTAATTCAATGATATCTGAACAAAGTAATATGATTACATTAAATTAATATTCCTCTATATGTGATATTATTGTTTTTTAATTATTATGTTATTCTATTACCTATTATGTTTTTCTATTAACTATTCAGTGTTGCTATTAAATATAATAATTTATACAAATAAATTCAACAATAATTAAAAGTAATTTTTTTCAAGTTAAACAGTATTTTATTTAAAAAGCAATATTCACGTTTTAAACTACCTAAGTGTTAAAACATCCTTGATTTATACGTTATACACGTATGCAAAGATTATTTTTAATTGCCATAAAATAATGCTTAAGCAACGTAGATTGTGGAATGAACAACGAACTTATCTTGAACTTTAAACAATCCTTAGTAAACGGAAGCGAAAAAAAATTAAAATACATTTTGCTGACAAGGAGCGTCGTATTTTGAACACTCGAGATAAATATTTCTCCCGTTTCAATTTTAGTTTTGTGCTTTTGTTTTATTATAGTTTTTAGTCAAAATATAGTTTTTGTGGTGAACCTGCATTCGCGGTCTGCATTCGTCTTTTACTTGCCCTCAGAGAGCCTTCTAGACTTCAATTTATGATTCGTATAAATTGACATACGACATTATTTTCAACCTTGTTGTTCAAGTTTATATATATTTATTATTTTTTAAATATGTTTATAATTGTTAATAATGTTTTAAATATATTTTTAATTAGTTATTACCTATTCTAGTATCTACTGCATGTTTGGGTTTAAATACAAAAGAGCGTTCTCCAAAATATTGCAAATAAATCAATCAAAATATTTTTTTGTGAAGTAAACATCATTCTCTTATTATTAAAAACAGAAGTTCAATCCTGAATATTTACGATAATGATTTGACCTCAAAATGTTATCCCCTTGTCGGAAGTCATTGTAAGGATTTCTTATAAATATATATCCACCCACCTAGATGGGAAAAAATCAGACTTTTTTTTTCATCCTTGCAACAATTTAGAAACTTCTTCCTCAGGCTGAAAACATTGTAAGCATTTCTCATAAATGTGTATCTCCCTGACCTAAATGGAAAAAAAAACTTTCTTTTAATTTATTGCAATATTTGTAAAACTTCCCCCCTTCAGTGAATGCACTCTAAGTTATTCTTTTAAACGTATATACCCACCTACATTGAAAAAAATCAATTTTATTTTACTTCGTTGCAGTATTATGGAGACTTTTTTGTCTCCAAACATGAGTTGGATACACAAAAAATTCTCTTTCTTTGTTTTTGAATTTTTAAAAATGATTTGGACAGACGTAAATTCTATATCCGAATATTTTTTGGTGTCTTGCTAAATTTATTTGATAATAGCGTTTTTGTAGCATGGTTTCCTAAATGCATTATTTTGATCTGAATTAATGTAAATAGAAATTTAGTGAAATTTGTATTTTTAAAAATACAATCAATTAAGAAGTGGAACCAAACAAAATTGCTGAAATTTGTTAAAAATGTTTGTATTTTATTTGGTACCTTTGTTGTATTTTCAGCTGTTATAGAAAAATCATACCATAATGATAATTAAAAAACAAAAAAAACTTTTAATTCATATAAATTTTTTATTATTTCCTATAGTTGCTTAATATCAATCTTTTTTTTAAAAATCGAATAATTTTTAAACGCTTCCCGGTGAATTAACATTGTTGCTTATATATTTTTCAAACAGCCTATATGTATTCAAATTCAAATCCATATAATTTTAAATTTTTCTTTGTGTATTAAAATTTTAATCAATATGATTTTACCTAATTCAAATAAAATAAATAATTGCATGTTTCATTTTGTCATACCCGCATTTCTGTTCAGTATAGTATAACTTACATTAAAAAAATACAGTATTCTGCATTTTTTTAATGCAAGTTATACTAATAACAATACAAAATAAACATAACTAAAACATGCTGGCAGTACATAAACGTAGCATACATGCTAAATAAACATAAATAGAGCAGTGCATAAATAAAATTCGAGAAGTTCTATTTTATATCACTTTCGAATGATTGCTTTTTTGGCATTACAAATACACCTCATTTTATAAAATTTCGATTAACTTTGACTCAAAATAAAATAATATTTGATTACATACGTTGTCGCCTGAGGAAACTCAATTGCTCAATAAATTTTGTAAGTGGATGATATGAAATTAATGTCATATCCAGTTTTTTGTTTTTATTTTCTCTTTTCTTTTTCATTTCTTCAAAAAAAACATTAATACACAAGACAACATGAAATCTTCCATGTCGCTAATCCATGTTTATTTGCAAAGAAAAGGAGAGTTCTCTAAAATATTGCAATAGAGTAAAAGAAAGTTTGATTTTTTTTTCTGATGAGGCAAACACCATTTCCTTTTAACTCACTGCAGAAATACATTCATAAATATTTACGACAAGTGCTCCGCGTATCTACTTCGACTCAAATGTTATCCACAAGTCCGAAATCACTGTAAACATTCCTTCTAAATGCGACTCCACCGTCAACAAAATGACTAAACGGTATGGGGCTATTCCCAGGAGTGATTCGGGAAATTATTTGGGAACGAACCCCCAGAGATTCTATCCACAAAGGAAAAACATGTATGTTTGTCGTATCCTGGGGCCGACTCCAAGATATTTGTCCCTCGCGAGTTCTTATTCAAAGTTTCGAAGCTCTGTTCTTTCGTAGCCTCAGGCGTAGTGTTGAAAACTCGAATAAATCTCTCTTAATGTTTGAACGTTTCAAGAAAAATAATATGCACTGTATTCAAAAAATAGAAAAAAAACGTAAACATTTGAAAACGTCTGAATGCAAATAGAACGTCAAATTTTGAGATAGATACTTTCGGTAAAGAAATAAAAACACGTTTCTCCGACATATGATACTGGAGGGCAATTTTATTTAGGAATTCAAGAGTGGATCCATTCTTTTTTTAGATTAAATTGTAGTTAAATGCAGAATTGAGTGAGTTTATAAAAAATAAGATGTTTATTATTTATAAGAAAAGCGTAAATTAACTGAAGGAAAAATTTAATGACCTCAATTTTAAGGACGCTCAATAAATTGATTTTTCTTTTTTAAATTAAAATATAAATATGTCGTATTTTATTTAGCAATAAATTACATTGCTTAAAGTTTTCCTTTATTCCAAATGGTATACATTGCCTTAAATTTATGCTAAAATGTAATTTAAATAAAAGTGCAAACTGAATCAAGAGACAAAATTTGAATATTAAAGTGACTATGTAAACTGAAACTATTTTTTTAAAATTATCAGCAGATTTATTTGAAATTTTCGCATGATTTTATATTATCAATAAAAGATTATCAGGTCTTGCATTTCTATCAAATTCTCCAGATTTCAGCTTTAAAAACTTCCTGTTGGCTCTTAGCTTTCCAAAACTATCTGAATTTTCAACCTACCATTCTTGTGACTATTTAAAAAAATCTATAATGTAACATAGGTACGTTAATTTTAGCTCTCAAATTACTCCTGATATGTTTTGTGAACTTATACTACACTGCTCAAAGCATTTAAATGGTATTGAGGTTGTGGGTTGATCTTGCACTCGGAAAATTCTTTCAATGATTGATACTTTATAATCAGACGTAGTAAACTGTGTGAGATAAAATTTACATTTGTTTGGCAGAAAAATGTGTTTTTTATTGATCATTTGGGTATAAAAGGAAAAGAAACGCAGTTTGTGCATATGGCAAAAAAAAGTATGTTTCCTTAAAAGAAAATCGTCGGTAGTAAAGGGTATGGTTTCCCTGGAAAACCAGCAAAGTTGAAAGCCTTTGAGGAATCGAGTCAATGAAGTTATTAATGGGAGGCTGAGGTATTCTGTCTCACTCTTCCAGAAAAGCTCTTTCCAGTTCTAGGAGAGTTTGTGGAGGTAGTAATTCGTCTTCCTAGAATGTCCCAAATATGCCCGATCGGATTGATATAACGCTGACCAACACGCTGGCCAATCCATTCATACAATTCCTTTCTCTAAAAGGAAACCATTCACCAAGTTAGCACGAGGTTGTCAGCAGTTGTCGTCCGTTAACCTAAAGTCATCCCCGGTTGCTGCAGCGTAAGGGACTATAATAAGTCTCAGGATCTCATCCCTAGACCGGCGACCGGTCAGAGCTCCTTTTCGAATAATCGGTGCACCCATCAATGGAGATGACAGCATTGACCATCTCTCTCCCTCAGCCAATTTTTTTACTTTCGCGCAATAACGCGGGATTGTTTCTAGTCCCACGTTCCCGCTCCCCATTGTTTCTAGGGTCAGATCCATAGATTTAAAAAGAATTAAAAAATTAATGTTGCAACCACTCAGTGTTCTCTTTAACATTAAGAAGACGGATGAGCCTAATTTGGCCTCTCACGTATTTTGAAGCTTTGTAACTTGAAAAATAACTTACTAAAAGTGCTGATTATTTCTGACTCTCATAGTTTGATCCATTCTAAGTACTTAATAAATCAAGCAAATGTTAGAGAAACGTATATATATAGAACTTTATACTTAAAATTGTGATAGGATCTAGAGTTGTCCCTTAGGTATTTTGGAAGGTATCCCATAACCCCAAGTAGTTTTGGTACCCCTTGGTATATACAATGTTAAAAATGCCTTGACAA